GCGGTTGTAATTTTATTTGAATTCGAAGTAATAAATTCAGAAAGACAAGTACCCTATATTTCCGATCTGTTGACTTCATATTTAACTGCCTGATTACTGGCAATAATTTAGAAATTATGCGCGTTCATCAATTTTTTTGGACAAAAACTGAGCTGGATGAAATTGATTTTCAAGAGAGCTGAGCCTGTAGCTAGGCTGAGCCAAATATAATCAGCTGATATATAAATAACCATAGATACATTTTGGCTTTATCACTTTGTCTTGTTAGTAATGAATCGAAACTGTGTTAATTAGTCAGAAACGTACCTTTGTCCTTTCATTGAAGATGTGGATCAATATAATTAATGCAATGTATATATATTTTTCCCGACAGTCGGTTAAATTCAAATCAGTGCGGGCGCAAAAAATGAAACAGAAATGATTTTGAAACTGAGTCAGTGTTCATATAATTTACTCAGAGATACACTTTAATGGAGCTTCCACCGTTTGTCTTTAAATGAAACTGTATAGCTTAACAGGTTCCTTTGTCCGTTAATTTAGACGTTGTCTGATGTAGTAAAACAACCCGCTTTTATTTGAAGTTAATTTTTTATGAAGTAGCTTATAATCTTTTAAACTGAGAGCTACAAAATTTATTTCATGGCTTTAGATGTAGTGAATTTCACACTAATTTGAAAAAAATAATTTGATTTTTTAACATTCTGGTTTGATAACTGGGTCATAACTGCTTAAGATTCCTGTCTCACACAACTCTGAGGTCAAGATGGAGGCAATCGTTGTGAGAATTCTGCTTTTCTTGCTAATTGTTGGACTTATAGCGTCCAATGTTGTGGATGGAAGCCGGCCAATGCACATAAACATCATAAATGGTAAGAAATTAAACGAAAATGTTTACTTTTGCAAACTCAAGCATTTTTGAAGTTAAAATATTGAAATAAGCTTATCTCTTTTTCGGTAGGGAACTGGTTAAAAGAGCTAGAAATAAAAATAAAATACGTCTAAAGGTTTTTTAACAAGTAAATTGCACATTCATTTGACTAACTTTCTGAACTCTCAAACCGAGAGGATAACTTCTTTGATACATGTATAAGATCTTTTCCATATAAGTCTAAATCTACTAGGGCTTTATACGTTCTCTTATTGGCTACGCTGCTCCCAATCCATTCTGTTGTAGATAGTGAGTAGCCTAGCGGTGTGCTGTTGTTAACAAAATGACGACAACTTCTTTGGGGTTTTCAAAGTGTCTGCGAAGACGATTTAGGCTCGTTAACTTTGAAAATCGTAAACAGCATCTGGACCAGTGAATATTTTTAAATATTCAGGTTTGTTAAATTTAGTTACTTTACTGTAGCTTTCTTTAAATCAGAAAGCAAAAGAATAAGAACGAAAATAATGGTGATTGTAGTAAGCTTCGTAAAAATCTGCGTCACTTCGAGTAAAACCATAGTCAGAAAAATTAAGAACAAGCCTGCGCTAAGCACTCATTCAGATATCACTTTTCCGTGAAACCTAATAACTGAAAAGATTCTTTTATGCCTTTTTAACGAATCAAGTCCACCTTTATAGGTCATAAAACCTGCTTCTCTGTGGGTTCTTATCGTCGAAATTGTATTTCTTCTATTGCAAATGGGTTTCAGTTAAAACATAGTGTAAAGTGCGCATTGCTTTGGATGACTGAAAATTAAAACATCAAATTAGAACGAAAAAAGTCTTAAAATCTAAAATATGCAAGGTACGTTAAAAGGCCATTCAATTAGTTGGAACGGATACTAAATTACACATTAGAGAGCGTGTTTTGAATTTCCGAAGCATGAGGTGAGTGCCTCTATTCTGTCTGACGACATTCAGTAACCTACCGTGTGATTGGTCAATCAATTCAACCGCGGCAACCGTCCATGAAGACATTTTGGCCATGATTAACTTGGTCTAAATTTTTCTCATTCGCCTTTGACGACTGGTTAAGAATCGTCTCTCACTCAACTCTAAAGTCAAGATGCTGTCTCTTGTTGTGAAAATTTTGCTTTTCCTGCTAATTTTTGGACTGATAGCGTCCAATGTTGTAGATGGAAGCCGGTCAATGCCAATGAAGACCAAAAATGGTAAGAAATGAAAATATTTACTTTTGAAAGCTCAAGCATGTTTGAAGTTAAAAAATTTCAAATAACCCTTTTTCCACAGTAGGAAACTGGATTTCACGTTTAGAAGAGCTAGAAATTAAGGATTTTATGGTTTATGAACCAGTAAATTCGCACTCATTTGAAATGTAAACTTTCTGAATTCTCAAACCCGACAGAACAGACTCTTTGATAGATGAATTTTATTTATTCCAAACTATAACATCACATTTAACTTCCATGTAAGAATATGAAAGATATATAATTTAGATCTTTGAAATCGATTAGAAACTGTCATGCAGTATTTGAACTTAAATTGTTTACATTAAGTTTCAAAATCATAAACAGCCTCCCGACCACTGAATATTTAAACAAACAAATCTGGCATATTGGTGCGCCTCTACTTTGATACGTTACTGCAGCATAATCAAAAAGCAAAAATAAGAATGAACATAAATGTGATTGTGACTCATAAAAAACTGTGTCACTTCGCGAAAAATCCCAGCACGAAAAAATTGAAATAAAAACACTTGGGCTAAGCGCTCATTCAAAGATCGCTTTCCCTTGAAACCTAATAACTGAAAAGATTCGTTTTGCCTTTTTAACGAAGTCTGCCTTTATAGCTTGTAAAATCTGCTTCTGTGTAGAAGAAATACATTCAGTAGGTTCTACACTCACAATTATTTTCCTTTTCTGCAAGGTGGGTAAGAATTAAAACACGGTACTTTTAGACACAAGAAGAGCACGAGTTCGTCAATCGGATGTGATTAGTAAGTTTCGATCTATCGGTAAAATTAGGTCGTTGTGTTCAGTTCGTCAGTTATGTTATAACTTTTGATATTTTATTTGTCAACTAGGCGAGGAGGAACAAGAGCACAGCAGTAAGAACAGCACTTACAAACACCGCAATCAAGATGGCACTGTGACTGGTCAGTTTCGATCCATCGGTAAAGTTAGCTCGTTCTGTTCAGTTTGTCAGTTAGGCTATAACTCTAATTTTGATATCTTATTTGTCGACCAGGCGAGGAGGACCATGAGCACAGCAGTAAGAACAGTACTTACAAAAACTCCGACAAAGATGACACGGAGCTTCGAGCAGTTGTCCCCCAGATGGTTTTTAATAATCCTGACCAGCAATGCTACACTCAATTCTTTGTAGGTGGAGCTCCACCAACAGGTCTGCGAACTGGCCAAAACTTACAGAGTATAAAGTACATCTGCCAAATGGTGAATCAGCAGACTTACTATGGGACCATGTTTGACGAGGGTCGCGGTATTGCTGTGTACTCAGGCTACACATTGACAGGGGCAAATGTGAATTTTGTTCCGAATCGACCAAGACCACAATGGAGACCAACAGAAGGTAAATACAGCTTACGCGAAGTATAAAATAAGACAGTGACCATCACAAATTAGCTAATACACTGAAGAATAAACCGCGGACAAACAAAGGGTGATAGCTGCCGATGCTAAGATATTTTTTCGAGAGGACTTTACATAAGCTACCACCATTTCAGTAGGTTAGACCCCCGGGGTATTTCCATGTATGAGCAATATAGGCATGTGCGGCTCCAAAGAGTAAGGTTTTTTTTAGCAGTTTTGGTCAGAAATAGGGTATCGATTTTGGCCATTTTGGTCTCAACAGGAGCCATAATCGGGGACGGAGACCGTAAGTCTTGGGATCCGCGCGCACCTATGATATGGGACAATTTTGCTATTTTTAGAACA